ATAGCTCACTGTAACTCAAACTCCTGTGCTCAATTGATCCTGTCACCTTATCTGCCCAAATAGTTAGGACTACAGGCATGCACCACCACACCCAGCTAATTTGAAAGTTTTTTTTGTAGAGGTAGGGTCTTACTATGTTGCCCAGGCTGGTCTCAAACTCCTAGGTTCAAGTGATCCTCCCTTCTTAACCTCCCGAAGTGCTGGGATTATAGGTGTGAGCCACCACACCCTACCCCATATGTCTTAAGCCAGCTTCACTAAACACCTTTGAGTAAGAATAGATCCTTTTTTTCAGGGAGAGAAACATCCGTAAGTAAAATTAATATATGCCTGTATGGTTATTTTATATTTATAAATTAAAACATACTAAATCTCAACTTAAAATATGGTTTCATCAGATCAAAGATTATATAAAATTGTATTATTTATAAAATGAAGATTAGATTTGTGAAAGATTATATTAAAAAGAATCAATGTTAGACTTTGAGTTTCGTATTTGGCATATACAGAATGTTGAAAAACATAAGTCAGTTGAAATCAGTGAGATGACAGCATTATTTTCTAACATTATGTTTGAACAGAGTAGTACATTTCTTTGCCTTTCAGATCAACAACTGGCCATACATCCAACAAGTAAATTAGGAACTTAAATTCCTACAAAAAAGTAATATTCACTAGCAGTATGACTGAATTTTGGAAGATAGTGTGCAGTGCAAGCTTTTATCCTAGAAAGACTAGTTCCAAAGGAACTTCACAGAGTGAAATTTTTGGTGAATTACCATTGATCAGTCAACCTCAAAGATGTAGAAAAAAGATCCGTAGATCAAGCAGACCCTTAGAGACAGAGTAGGAATAATAAAATTGGCCCCAAACTGAGGTGTAAACTAATATGCTTGTTTGCTTACCAAAGGGACTATGTCTTTGTAGTGATTGAAGTGCTGGGTCCCTTTCTGAGAATTGAGGAGTCCAGAAAAACAGATTAACATTTAAATGGTTATTTGTGAACATAAAAATAGAGCCAGGGAAAGTGTATCATTTTGAGGATTGCCTTAGCCATGGTCCTAATGAGACCTCATGAATGAACTGTCTTCCTCCAGAGAAATCACTCAGAATGTTTTTTTGCCTCAGTCTTTTGGTTATACTTCCTGAAGTATACTAACTATAGTAAGCACAGAGGTGTAATGCTTCTTCACAAATGAGGGGAAGAGTGTTTGAGCAGAGGGAATGTGGAAAAGGAGAATGGTAATGGAATATTTGCCACAGGAACCCTTTCAGGTAGGTCAGTTTAGTAAAGAATGCAAGAAGTTGAAGAGCTGGAGATTGAGTCACTTAAAATGATCTTTACCTGTATATCCCTTTAAAGGTGTTTATGTACCCTAGAGCCCACGAATATACATTCCTTAGTTTGAGGAATTATGGCATTTGTTTTTATCTTTGTAGATATTGGCTTACTTTCTTGGGATTTTCATTCATACAGTAAATACTTATTCATTGTCTATTTACTAGAATACTGTGTTTTATATCTGATATCCAGGTGCTTGATAAATATATGAATTGAATTGAATATTTGTTGAACATGCCTATTAAATAGATTTCCAAGCTAATTCCTTCCATAATTTTTGTAGTTAAATGGACATTATATGTCTTGCCATGAGACCTATTTGAAATATTCTTTTGATAAGAAAATGCTATCTGAGTAGAAAATGGTACAGATAACATATTTAGGAATGGGCAAGGATCTTCCTGTGTTTGGGTGAAAAAGATAGCTGTACTTGAACACTATCCCTCTTTCCCATAGAGTGTGCTCTTATATTTCAAAAGAATGTCAAAACCAGTGATTTTTCCTTCAGGAATATAAGTGTATTTTCTGTCAACTTCAGAAAAAAATTGTAGTAACCTAAAGAAGAGGCTTTCTGTTTTGTGCTAGAGATAACATGGGACATACTTTAGGGTAGTATATCATAAACATAACTTACAGTCATCTACAGATAATGAATATGATAATGTTAGATGCACATTCAACAAAGAGAGGGAACAATATAACTAAGTAAAAAATAAGGAAGGAAAATAAAGATGTGGAGAGACACATTAAAGGCTCTACTGTATTTCATAATGGTTGGATTCATTAGCACATTATTTTATTTCAGATAGGCATGGATATAGTGGGCAAGATTGACTTTGGAAGGCTGTATTGAGCTCTTAGAGAACTGTTGAGGGAGAAAGTTTGATTTACACATGTACATAATTTTGTTAGGGGGCAAGAAAGGAAATATGGAATAATGTTTCTCCAGATGTTTCTTCATTTTGGCCACTAGATGGTGACATTGTATAAAGACAGCTTGGTTGTAGAAGGTGAAATACTCAAAATTTGGTGTGGGATTGGGTATCTATATTTAACAATTAAGCCCAAGAATATCACTTAATTTTTTTATATTCATCATTCAGCCTTGTAGCACATTTTTGGTGAATTTATTGAACTTCTCTTTTTGGTATTTAATTTATATGTATACACTGTCCTGAAGTATTTTGTTAATATCTCTGTGCCTAGCATATTTAGTGATGATAAACTATATATGATAAACAAATACTTAAACAAATGCCACCTACCCTCCAAAAAATCACATAGCAAAAAAACTTATTGATGTATATGATGTGACTAAGAAACGTATTTAAGATACATTAAACAAAATAGAAATTTATTTGTGTTTGTACTGTGTTTACTTCTTTACTGCTGATAGCATAGGTATACATGCACATTTGGAAGTTGGACTCAGGAAGAGGGGCCACTCCAAAGGTCCTCTCATCTGTGAATAACCCTTTCATATTACTGAGTATGGGTAACCCATATGCCAAGGATCCTTCTGCTTTCCTTTCTGTTCGCTACCACCAACTTCCCATTATTTTCTAATTCAAAAACAATTGGCGAGTAGCACTGTAGTATTGCTATGACTTTAAAAGACACAGTCCTTTCTGTAACAGTTGAGGTTGGTGCCTCTTGAATTAGTGGGTTTTCTGTTACTGGATTGAAAGAAAGTAGGTCCCTATCATCCTTAAGTTGGAACTCTGAAGGTATTCTTTCATAGACATGGTGTTTGTTTGTTTGTTTGTTTGAGACAGAGTCTCACTCTGTCGCCCAGGCTGGAGTGCTGTGGCATGATCTTGGCTCACTGCAACCTCCACGTCCTGGGTTCAAGTGATTCTCCTTCCTCAACCTCCTGAGTAGCTGGGATTACAGGCATGTGTCACCGTGCCCAGCTAATTTGTGTATTTTTATTAGAAACGGGGTTTCACCATGTTGGTCAGGCTAGTTTCAAACTCCTTACCTCATGATCCACCCGCCTCGGCCTCCCAAAGTACAGACATGGGGTTTTTTTTGTTGTTCGTTTGTTTTGTTTGTTTTTTTGATTTTTTGAGACGGTGTCTGGCTCTGTCGCCCAGGCTGGAGTGCAGTGACGGGATCTCGGCTCACTGCAAGCTCCGCCTCCCAGGTTCACGCCATTCTTCTGCCTTAGCCTCCTGAGACATGGTGTTTTTAATGGTGGTTAAATATGACTAAAGTGGTATTATTTGCAGCTCTACTTTTTAAAATCAGAATTTTCTTTTCTGGGGTTTGGCCTCACTTCTTATTTTCTTTACAGAATAAGATCGAAAAGGCATTTTCTCTTCTGTTTAACAGGGCCTCTTCAAGTGACCATATAGTCCTATTAAACATGATTTCTTACTTAAAACCTACTTCATTTTCTCTAGCTTGAAGCAAGTTGTTTCTCCTCTCTTTTCTTGTAGTCCTTGTTAAGGATTCAGCTTTTATGTTAATCCTGTGTAGATTTTTGTCATCCCAACTATACTGTTTGTGTCTTAAAGGCAAACTTTCTTGCTTAGCCTTGTATCTGTTATCAACAAATTCTTGTCCAGTGCCTTACATGTAGTAGGTGCTCAATAAAATACTTCAGATGCATAAAGAATGCTTAGATGGCTGATGCCAAAGTAGTGTCTTTTAAGAAAATTAGCTATGACTGTATATGGCACAAGATGTTTAGATTGGCTTTTAAGATATAAGAACTCCGATGACCAGGTGTTTTGTTTTCTGATGAATGGATGCTATGGCATTGCAAGTTATAAAACACATTAGTTTGACTTTTGGAATGGAAAATGCATTCCTTTATACTTGTTCATAAAATTCAGTCCACATATGGGGCAGTTTGATTGTTAATATTGTAAATTACTGATCTTTATGGGAGTCACTGATTCTTTTGAGAATCTGATTGAAACAGTTCTTCCCCCTGTACATACAACAGCCAGAAAAATGCACCTGCATTATAAAGATAATTCTGTACATTATTTAGAGAGCTCATAGATTTCATGTTAAGAACTTCTGCTTCAGATTTTGGAATAGACTGCAGCTGATTAGTCAAAAGGCAGCATAATATAATAGAAAAATGTACTATATACAAAATCAGTTGATCTAAGTGAATGCTAGCTCTTATTCTACCTTTGATAAATGTCGTACCATTCGGCAGATCATTTAATGTCTCCTTTTTGCCTGTTTCTTCATTTGTAAAGTGAAGTTGTTGGATGAAAGATTAAGTGAATTAGCACATACAATATACTTAGAAGAGTGCTGGGTATGTAGTATGCTTCCCAGCTTTTCTTTCTAGTCTTTGATTGTACTATCTTATAAAGGATTTCTGAATTTTTTAATGCCCTCCTCTTTTTGTCTAATTGATTTTCTTTGCTTTAAGAAAATAACTTTCATGTATATTTTAAAAACTTGAGTAACAATTTATTCTCTTATCCTGTAAGGCAAGTGGGAAACTAAGAACTTTAGTCTTTTCAGGAGTTGGATGTATTACAGCTACTGAAAAACTATTACTGTTCATGTAAGATTTTTTTTTTAACAGAGTCCATTAACATCTGTGTCAGCAGCAAACAGATTGTGTTGAAAATATGTAACTTTTTTGTATTACCCAGTAAGAAAAAGACCTTTCTTTTTTTTATTCTAGGGAAGAAGACAAAAATATATTTGATTACTGCAGGGAAAACAACATTGACCATATAACCAAAGCCATCAAATCGAAAAATGTGGATGTGAATGTGAAAGATGAAGAGGTATGAAAAACATGCCCTGTTAATTATTTTCCTATGCATGGTTGTTCTGCCCCAGTGCTTTTTCCTAAATGGTAGGCCAGTGAACTACAACTCAAAGTACAGCATGGCTAAGAGTATATCAGAATATCTAAATGAGATGTTGTTACCTAGTTAAGATACGTTCTGTGATTGTGTCACACATATTTTTATCTATGTTTTAGAAGTTACTACCTGAAATTTGTAGGAGTCTGATAGCTTCCATATGTTTATGCTAAAGGGAGAGATTATTAGCATAATAAGTGAAATCTACAGGTAATAGCAATATCTCATTTATAAATAGCTTTCTTGTCTTCTGTTATTATACCTTGAACAGCTAGGTATATTGTTCTTTGCTCAATAAATGTATCTCTAGAAAACTGTGTCCGAATTTTGGTAAATCAATAATTTAAATGCTGGCCTACTAATTAAAGGAATCGTATAGAAAATTATTTTATAAAATATATTACTTCTTTTTTTTTTAGAGAGAGACAGGGTCTCACTCTGTTGCCCAGGCTGGAGTGCATTGGTGCGCTAATAGCTCACCGCATCCTCAAACTCATGGGCTTATGCAGTCCTCTTGCCTCAGCCTCCCAAGTAGCCAGGACTACAGGCATGTGTCATCACTCATGGCTAATTTTTTAATTTTTTGTGGAGATGGGGTCTTGCTGTGTCGTCCGGGTTGGTGTTGTCCTCCTGATCTCAAATGATCCTCCTGCCTCAGCTTCCCAAAGTGTTAGGATTATAGGCATGAGCCACTGTGCCTTGCCTATTACTTCTTAATTTATTTGTGTTGTGAATAATACCATTCACAAATTGAGTTTTAACTGACCCTGCATTATAGTTGTTAACAAAGGAGCAACATTTACTAATTCACTTCTAATCATTTTCTCATTCTTTGGTGATGCTGTGAAAGATGACTGAAATGGCCAAAGGTAGTAATTGTTAGGAAGAAAGCATTGAGTGATCATAGATAATCTGTAGAATAGATCATAATTAACTTACGTGTAATTCAGAGCTGCCTATGTAAAAGGTTAGCCCTTAATATTGTCTCACCTTTCGGCAACATCTTTCCTGTGATAATATTGTCAGTGGCATCTGGAATTGAAAATGTAAGACTATGATACTGCACAAAGGGACTAGTAATACTATGTGGTTTTCATTAAGTAAACAAAATAATACCAGGTCTTCTGATTCTAATTGGGTTTGAGGTTTTTGTCTGTTTGTTTTTTGCCTTTCAGAATCAAAATACAGGTATACCTCTGAAATATTGCAGATTCAGTTCCAGACTACTGCATTAAAGTGACTATTGCAGTAAAGCAAGTCACATGAAATTTTTGGTTTCCCAGTGCATATAAAAGTTGTGTTTACTGGGTGGACACGGTGACTCACGCCTGTAATCCCAGCACTTTGGGAGGCTGAGGCAGGTGGACCACGAGGTCAGGAGCTTGAGACCAGCCTGGCCAACATAGTGAACTCCATCTCTACTAAAAATACAAAAAAAATTAGCCAGGCATGGTGGCGGGTGCCTGTAATCCCAGCTACTTGGGAGGCTGCAGTAGGAGAAATGCTTGAACCTGGGAGGCAGAGGTTGCAGTGAGCCGAGATCGTACCATTGCACTCCAGGCTGGGTAACAGAGCAAGACTCCGTCTTAAAAAACAAACAAACAAAAAAGTTGTGTTTACACTCTACAGTCGTCTATTAAGTGTAGAGTAGCATTATATCTTTAAAAAAGTACATACTTTAATTTAAAATACTTTATTACTAAAAAAATTCTGACAATCATCTGGCTTGCCTTCAGCAAGTCATAATCTTCGTGGGGCAAAAGGTCTTGGCTCAGTGTTGATGGCTGCTGACTGATCACAGTGGTAGTCACTGAAAGTTGGGGTGGCTGTGGCAATGTCTTAACATAAGTCAGCAGTGAAGATAGCTACATTGATTGAGTCTTCCTTCGTAAAAGATTTCTCTGTACATGCAATGCTGTTTGATAGCATTTTACCCACAGTGAAACTTCTTTCAAAATGGTAGCCAATCCTTTCAAACCCTGCCACTGCTTTATCAACTGAGTTTATGTTGTATTTTAAAACTTTTGTTGTTATTTCAACAATGTTCACAACATCTTTACCGGAGTAGATTGTGTCTTAAGAAACCACTTTCTTTGCTTATCCATAAGAAGCAACTCCTCATCCATTCAAGTTTTATCATGAAATTGTAGCAATTCCATCACATCTTCAGGTTCCACTTCTAATTTAGTTCTCTTGCAGTTAGTTATATCTGCAAGTAACTTGTCCACTGAAGTCTTGAATCCTTATCAGTGTCATCCATGAAGGTTAGAATCAACTTCTTCCAGGCTCTTGTTAATGTTGACATTTCGACCTCCTCCCATTACGCATGTTCTTAATGGATCTGGAATGGTGAATCCTTTCCAGAAGATTTTCAGTTTGCCCGTATCCATCAGAGCAATCATTGTCCATGGCAGCGATAGCCTTATAGGATGTATTTCTTTAATAATAAAACTTGGAAGTCAAAATTATTCCTTGATCCATGGACTGCAGAATGAATGCTGTGTTAGCAAACAAGAAAACAACATTAATTTCCTTATACATTTCCATGAGAGCTCTTGGGTGACCAAGTGCCTTGTCAATGAGCAGTAACATTTTGAAAGGAATCTTTTTTTTTTTTTACCTGAGCAGTGGGTCTCAACTGTAGGCTTAAAATATTCAGTAAACCATGTTGTGAAGTAAACAGATATACTGTCATTCAGGCTTTGTTTTCCCATTTCAAAAGCACAGGCAGAATAGATTGAGAGTAATTTTTAAGGGCCCTAGGATTTTCAGAATGGTAAATGAGCATTGGTTTCAACTTAAAGGCAACAGCCACATTAGCCCCTAACAAGAGTGTTAGTCTGTCTTTTGAAGCTTTGAGGCCAGGTATTGACTTCTCTCCAGCCATGAAGGTCCTGGATGGTATCTTCTTTCAATAGTAGGAGTAGTCTATTTTCTCTACATTGAAGATGGTTGTTGAGTGTAGTCACGTTTATCAGTTACTTTAGCTAGGTCTTCTGGATGACTTGCTGCAGCTTCTACATCAGCACTTGGTGCGTCACCTTGTACTTTTATGTTATAGAGATGGCCTCTTTCCTTTAACCTCATGAACCAGCCTCTGCTAGCTTTAGACTTTTCTTCTGCAGCCCCCTTACCTTCATAGACTTGAAGAGAACTAGGACCTTGCCCTGGATCAGGCTTTGGCTTAAGGGAATGTTGTGGCTGGTTGATCTTCTATCCAGACCACTCACTTTTTCCATATCAGCAATAAGGCTTTTTTACTTTTGTATCATTTGTATGCTCACTGGAATAGCACTTTTAATTTCCTCAAGAATTTTTCTCTGGCATTCACAATTTGGCAGTTTGGCGCAAGAGGCCTAGCTTTTGACCTATGTTGATTTTCAGTATGCCTTCCTCACTAAGCTTAATCATTTCTGGCATTTGATTGAAGGTGAGAGATGGTGCAACCCTTTTCCTTTCACTTGACACTAGGTTTTACTTGAAACTTAGCGACTATTGTATTATTGGCTAATAATTTCAATATTTTTGTGTCTCAGTCAATAGGGAAGCCTGAAGAGCGGGGGAGAGACCAGGAACAGCCAGTCAGTGGAGCAGTCAGAACACACAAAATATCTATTGGTTAAATTTGCCATCTTTCTCAGTGTGGTTTGTAGCACTCCAAAACAATTACAATAGTAACATCAAAGATCACTGATCATTACCCTAACAGATATAATAATAATGAAAAACTTTGAAATGTTGCAAGAATTATCTCAGTGTGACACAGAGACATGAAGTGAGCACATCTTGTTGGAAAAATGGCAATAATAGTTGGCTTAACTCAGGGTTGCTACAAATCTTCAATTTACAAAAAACACAGTATTTGCAAAGTACAATGAAGCATAGTGCAATAAAATAAGGTATGCCTGTACAGCTTTCTTTTTTTAATAAATTCGGCATGATTGCTTCCCTTGATTTTTTTATTGTAGTTTTTTATCTTTGTGCTTGTGAGTTAAAATTTTTATAAAGTTAATACATTCATTCTTAAAAAAAATCAAATGTTACTATTAGTCTTATAAACAAAAAGATTATCTCTTACCTGCATCCTTCTTACATTTTATTCTAGCTCCCGTAAGGCAAAAACTTTTTTTTTTTTTTTTAGACAGATTCTCAGGCTGGAGTGCAGTGGCATGATCAGGACTCACTGTAGCCTCTGCCTCCTGGGCTCAAGTGATCCTCCCACCTCAGTCCCCGTGTAGCTGGGACCACAGGTGTGCACTACCACGCCTGGCTAATTTTTGTATTTTTAGTAGAGATGGGGTTTCACCATGTTGCCCAGGCTGGTCTCGAACTCCTCAGCTTTAGTAATCAGCCTGCCTCGGCCTCCCAAAATGCTAGGATTACAGATGTGAGCCACTGCACCTGGCCAGACTTCCAGTTCTTTTAATGTGTCTTTTGCACCTTACCTACATAACTCTAAATAATATACTTCTATTTCTTGATTTTTCAACTTTAGACGTTATTGATTTGTTTCTGTGTTACATTTAGATTTAACTGTTTTACTCATCTTCTCCCTCTCTCTCTGACCCTCCTAACATAATTATATCACAACTTTTAATTTTAGCTTTCTGATTGAATCTCTGTTGAATCAATATTAATATTATTATGACTATGTAAATACTCATTGCTAAGCTGTGGATTGTACTTATATCAGTCAGCTTTTGCTGCGGCACAAACGACCCCCATATTTCAGTTGCTTACAGCAACAAACATTTGTTTTTTGTTTATATCACTGTCTCATGAGGTGAGTGACACCATCTCATTTATATATTCTGATAATGCTCTTACTTGATTTATGTTTATCTGATATTTCAGAAGGGTTTTGGATCAGTTGAGACTGTCTGTATATTTTAGCTACTTTTATTATTAATAGTATGAGT